GGACATTGTGTGACGCAGGACTTTGGGGAGTGAGGCCCTGATTCATTTTAACTGAACCTGACTCTCTGAGGCCTGGCAGGCTAATTTCCCTGGGGTGACTGAGCCCTTCACTTTGGCTCTGCGCTGGCCCAGCATTTGACTTGGGTCTTTGTGTGTCTGTCACACTGGGGGACACATCTGCTAGAGTTTGGACAATGTCAGCTTGTCCTTTGCTGCGCCCCACCCTTTCCAGAGACCAAGCGGCAGCAGAGCAGGGCCGTAAGCCCACATCTGTGTTGAGGCGGTTGACACACACTCGCACCCCCGTAGCCGGAGCTCGCTCACGGAGGCCACCACTCAGAATGAACTCTGAACCTTCCTAGTGCGGAGGACAGAGGAGACTTACACCATGCGGACAGGCTCCTGAGTGGGCCTGGCCTTGAGGGCGAACGTACCTTGCAGGCAATGCTGCTGTGGGGCCCCGTAATCCATCTTGCTCTCCTAATCAGCCTGGGACAGTCTCTGTGTGCACTTCCCCCACCATCAAGCAGCGGTGGAGGGAAGGAGCCACATGTCCCTTCAGGATGCAGCTCCTGCTCAGCCCTTCTCTGTCTCTGGATCCAGGGAAACCCCACCACAGGAACTCCTTCCTCCCGAAGCCTGTTGTCATGGTGTGCGTGCACCTTGGAGAGCGTCCACCGTCCTTTCCGTGGCCCCAGAAGCTGCATTGTGAAGGAGGAGGTACTGGGAAAAGCAGATGAAGGCCATCCCCGACCAGGAGGGGTGCCAGACAGTACGTCACCTCTTCCCTTCAGGCATGGGAAAGGGTTTGTAATGCCAGGGAGACCAGCAGTGTTGGCATTAAGTCTGAGCCCCCTCTTCCGAGGACCTGTCCTCACAAATCACAGGACCCCCCAGGACCCGCTGTGTTCTAGAAGGCCCCTTCCTGCCCGCCTGTGGCAGGGCACCAGACTCTCCCTCTGTGCCAGCCCCTCTCCCCTGGCTTCTCACTCTCCCCTCCACCTTCAGAATGCCTGCACTCCAGCCGCCAATGCCCACCCCACACATGCATTTCCAGGCCCTGGACCACCACTCTCAACTGCATCTCCTGCTCTGATGGAGCAGTGGACCACGCCTACCTATGGCCCCTGCCTGAGCTGGGGCAGGACCTGGCCCTCTGCACCCTCCCTGTCCTGCTTAGTGGGCCTTGTTGCTCCCACTCTGCCTGGCATTTGAGCTGACGTGGGAAAGGTGATCATTATCCCTCCCTCAGTGTTCTGTAATTACTCATTCCGTTTTGCCATGTTTAATGGAATATTTAATAGCATCTATGAAGAAGCCTGATGACTATAAATAAATGCTCTCTTTGGTATTGAAAGGGTTTTATACAATATGAAATTTAGAGCACAATTTCCCTCTGGAGTCTCCATATTAATATTCATCATGAGCCCCAAAGCAGAAGCTATTATATTTTAGCATAATGAAGTTCACCATGTGTTTTAAAGTCACTTGCAATTGTGCTTCTCATCACGACAATTAGGAAGGTCATCTTGTCTTGCTGGTCTCCGCCAGATGTATGAACCAGCCATGGCTGTCCCTGGGAAACGTATTAGGGCACTTTGTACAAATACAGGGGCAATGCGAGACTTTCTGTCCCACAGTGTGGCTGTTGGCACCTAATCACGAAACCTGAAATGCTGCTGCTTTAGGCAGCTTCTCATTGCTGTGACCAAAAGGCCTGACAAGAACAACGTAGAGCAGGAGATGCCTATTTTGGATCAGGTTTCAGAGGTTCAGTCCATGGTCATCCAGCTCCATGGCTCTGGGCCCAAGATGAGGCAGAACATCATGGTAGAAGGGTGTGGAGGAGGATAGCTGCTCAGGACCTTGCACTAGGAGGCAGAGAACTCTGCTCACCAGGGACAATATATGAACCCTGCAGGCACACACCAATGACACCTCCTCCAGCCACACCAACTGCCTGTAGCCTCCACTCAGTTAATCCATCAGTGGATTAATCTGCAATTAGGGTTCGCCTCTCATAATTTCACCATTTCACCTCTGAACCTTCTTGCATCGTCTTACACAATGTGATCTTCTGGGGGCACCCCTCATATCCAAGCCTTAACGCCTGCTGTTTGGCCTCCAGTGACATCTGGGCATGGAACCCGGAAACAAATCACCGGCTCTGTCTTTGACTGCCTGGCTTGAGACCCTCCTCTTCCATGAGGCAGGACACCACAAGGTCACTAAACATGGGGTGCAGGAATTTGGCGTGAAGACGCTGGTGTGTTTCTGATCTATGTTTTTTTTGCCTCACTTGAGAAATTGACCGTCTGCATTAGAGCATGAAGTAAGGTGTGCCGTGCTCGTGCCTGGAATGGCTCGAGTCCAGGTTTGCAGGGAGGAGCTCCTCGGGTGTTTCCAGGAGAATGAACCATCACTAATTTTCAGTGGTAGAAATGGTTCTTCCTCCCTTACAGTGACAGTGGGAGGGGAAGGGAGAGTCAGTCTCGCTGCCCACCCAGTGGAGGAGAGGGGCCGTGCCCCAGTGTGCATGAGAAGGAAGCAGCTGTGGCCTCCACGGAGGCGGTGCGTCCTGTCCCTCCTGTGCTTGCCCCTTAGCTGTGCAGTATATGGGTCCCTGCTGTCAGCCCGTGTCATGTCCCAGGGTCTGCTTGGTGTCTAGTTGTGCCAGGAGCTGCGTGTAAGCGTGGGCTCGGGCCCTTTTTCTGCTCACTGATTTGCCCCCACAGAGCTCTGAGACGGTGCGTTGGGGGGCAAGCTTATGTTTGAAGTACTGTGCTGCCCTGAGCTCCTGCTCTGCCTCCTGTTTTGCCTCCTGATGTGCTGGGCTGACTGTCAACCCATCCGACTGAGCCTGACTGTGCTGTTGTAATCTCCCGAGAGGTCTCTTCCCTTATCCCAAGGCCCTGTTTCTCATGGGGGTCCCTGGCTGTGTCTCCCCCTTGTCTGAGGTTTCACTTTCTAGTTTTAGTTACCCCTAGTCAACTGCAGTCTGAACGTGCTAAATAGAATCCCAGAAGGAAGCAATTCGTGTGTTTTAATTAGTGTGCTGTTCTTCCTCAGTAGCTTGATGAACTCTCCTGCTGTTCTGCCCAACCTGCCTCGGGTGTGAATCACGCCCCCGTCCAGTGTATCCTCACTGTGTATGCTACCCTCCCATTGGTCATGCAGAAGTGGCCTCAGTTATTGGATCAACTGGACACTTACCTAGTGTCCTTTATGGTGTCCAGTGCCTGCTTCACCCACCCACTCCATCTCATTTGGCACTGTATCCCACACCGTCCTGAGAAGGGCAGGTATTTGAAGGAGAGCCAGAGGTGGTGTTCACCTAACTCGTCTATCGTATGCTGTAGTTGTTCTGTTTTAGGGTCATTGTGGTTAATCTCTTACTGTTCCTGGTTTGCAAGTTAAACTTTATCAAGTGCACATGTGAGAAGAATGCAGGGTATGTGGGGTTTAGTACTAACACTGTTTCAGGCATCCTCTGGGGTCCACGGATGAAGAAGGGGCAGCTGTGTGGACAGCATCGGCCTCACCAGCTGTGAGCTGAGGGGATGAAAGATGTCTGTAGTAGACGCACCTGAGTGCTCAGCTCACACCAGGGCCCTGGTGGCCATTGCTCATGTGGTTATCCCTTTGGCAGGACTGGCCGAGTGGGAGATGGGACCTGAGGGTGCACTAGTGGGAGGGGCTGGACCCAACAGGCCTTTTGTCCACACAGGGGTTCTCAGGCTTCCCCAAAGCTGGTGTCTAGCCATTAAGGAAACTTGACTTGTGTGATGTCCAGGTCCCTGAGCAGTCTTATTTCATAAAGTAGACAATTAGATGTGATCTTACTTTTGTAAATGTTTCTCTTGAAAAACATCATCTCCTGTGTGGCTAAGATGAGAAGTACAGCCAGAGCAGGTGCTGGTGGGAGCGCACAGCGGGGAGTTTTCCATGGGTGCTGGTGGGTGTCCAGGGCAGGACTGCCTGGGAAACCCTGAGCAGCCCCTTCTCAGGTCAACCGTGGCACTAGACATGTGACCTGGTTATCCCACTTCTGTAGAGGTCAGAGGTCATGGCTGCAGGAGGTACAACCAGTGCTTGCAGCAGCGCAAGTCCGACTGCCAACACTGAGTACAGGTGGACTGAGCGTCGAGGTTTGTGGAGTAACGGTTGGTGCGTCCTTGTGGTGGGGTGGCTCAGACCCAAGAAGTTGCAACTGCTGAGGTGCCCGCGAGGTTTGTCTCAGGCTAATGTGTCTGTGCAACAAGCTGGTCTGGAGAGGCCACCCGCCATGGGAGCGCTTGACACACACCCAGGCCACGGGACCGCTAGGGACGGTGGGGGTGGGGGTGCAAGGTCTTCGTTAGGGATCATCCTGGATGGGGTTCTGGCACTGGATCCAAGAATCCTCCTTTACTAAGCCCACAACCCTGGGTTCTCCTGGGTGTGGACAAGTGAAATGCTCAAAGGTGCTGGAATTCACGCTGGTGAGTCAGGGCGTTGCCTGCTCAGGCCACGAGGCTGGCACCATTGCAGTCTCTGCTGAGTGCTCATCCACGGCTGTCCCAACTGTCAAGGCGAGGTTCCCTGAGGTCTGCCCTGCTGGTCTCCACAAAGAGGCTCCCCGAGGTCCACCCTGCCAGCCTCCTTCCAGAATGTGGTGCCGGGCATGAGCCACAATGGTCATTCCTGGGCCTTGCATCTCTGCAGCATTTTGTTCTACCCCAGGAGCCACAGAATAGGCCTTCGCCACGGGCCCTGGACTTGGTCCAGGCCATGCCCCAGCCAGGGAGCCAATCAGTCCCTGTTCTGAGCATCCTGCTGGGGCCCAACTTGACCTGCTGGAGAGTGTTGCAAATGTTAGCATCAGTGATGAAGCCCCCCAGCTCCTGCCAGCCCCACCCGCCTCCTGTCCAGGGGTGGCTGTCTCCTAGAGGGCTTCATGGGGACCCCAGGGAACACCTTGCTCAGGAGTGGCTCAGCTCACTCTGAGTCACCTTAGAATGGCTCAGGTTGTGTCGCAGCAGCTCTGCGGGTGAGTGGGGCTGTGGACAAACCCACTCCCCAACCTCAGGACAGGTGAAGGACCCTCTGTGGCTAAGTGAGGCTGTGGATGAATCCACTCACCAACCTCAGGACAGGTGAAGGACCCTCTGTGGCTAAGTGAGGCTGTGGATGAATCCACTCACCAACCTCAGGATAGGTGAAGGACCCTCTGTGGCTAAGTGGGGCTGTGGATGAATCCACTCACCAACCTCAGGATGGGCCAGAGGACCCTCTCCTGCTGAGTGGGGCTGTGGACGAACCCACTCCCCAGCCTCAGGATAGGCCGTAGGACCCTAGGGTGGAATATTGAGTGAAGAGGACAGTAAGGCAGAGACGTCTCATTCTTCTTGCCTTCTTCATGGTGACTTGTTGAAGGTCTGTCCCAGCCTCTGTGCTGGTGTGTGGAGGCTGCCAATCCTCCCCAGTGTCTGTGTGGGGGCACATCCTGGGCTCAGGAGCCAAGCTCTGCCTGGGCAGAGCTCTGTTTCTGTGGAGGCTGAGCCTGAGAACCAGGCAGAGCTTGGGGTGGAAAGCATCTCAAGCACCCCTCATCTGCAGACCCTCACCCCAGGTCACCCATTTGCCCACCCCTCGCTAGGTAAGTAGTGCTGCCGTTTGAATTTTTCCTTGTGAGATCTTAGGGTGGAAATGTTCTCCCACCTGAACCAGGAGACTGAGTCCCTGAGGGGTGGAGCTAACCTCTGGTGACACGCCTGGGGCTGTGTGGCCAGACCTGGCCATGCCCCCTAAGAGAGAGGTGATGAGGGGGCTATTTGATCTCCAAGGACCAGCTTCTATTGCACCCGTTCATGTCACTGTGGGGTGAGCAGGTTTGAGCCTTGGGGCAGCAGAGGACACAGCCATGAGGACATAGCCTCATCAGAGACCTGAAGGACGCCAACCACTTAGGTCAGTGTGGGAACCCTGAAGGGCCATGAGAACCTGGCCGGACACCAGGTCCCTGCTGGGCAGAGGTGGAACACTCAGCAGGGCCCAGCATGAAGAGCTTGGTCCCCGAGGGAGGGAGGTTCCAGGAGGCCAGCAAGGCTGTGGGGGAACACGGTGGCTCCACCTGGCGCCCACCCAAAACTTGAACCCTGGTCTTCTGTCCAGTCCTCCGTAGCCTTCACACTCTGCTCTTGCTCCTGCTCAGACCCAGAGTGTACCTGCACAGGCTGTGGTGGCCTTCTCAGAGGGGACAGGACACGCCCGGGCTCTCCTGCTTCCACAAGGAGACTGGCGCAGCTCTGGGAGGCATGGTCCCTGAGGCTGCACGGTCTGGTGAAGTCCACGTGACACCTCCATTCTTGGAAGTATTTTAAGGTGGAAAAACAGGGCATGTGGGAATTTAGAAACTCTGCTGAGGACAGCGATGGAGAATTCAACAGGCGGCAGCCTGAGGAGCCACACAGGGCCCCGTTTCTGGCTCTGGGAACCCAGGGCTCTCCTGGGAATTGGCAGAAGTAGAGATCACCTCAGCCACCGGCCCAGGTCTCATCCTGCCCCAGCCCTCCCCTGAGCCTGCAGCTGGGAGCTACACAGCTATCAGTGCTCCCTTCTGTCCTTGTCCTTGGCATGGCCCAGATCGCTAGCCTGTGCTCCTCTGTCACCTCTTCCCAGTGCATTGCCAGCACCAAAGTGTCCTCAGCAGACAGTGCCAAATAGGTCTGAGAGGAAGTCGGCAAGCAGGCGGGTTAGGGAGACCCTCCCAGCAGCACCTGAGAGCTCCCCAAGTCCAGACCCTCGTTTTCAGGTGGGACCCCTTGTGGGGAGGCCGCTGGCCTAAGGTTCTGCCCCTGGGTAGAGAGCGCAGCAGAGCTGTCTGACCCCCTGGTGGCCTGTTGGTACCCAGAGCATTTTGCCACTCCATGACTTTTTAGCACATGGGTGGCTTGGAGGCGGCACTGTGCCCTTCCTCCCTGTCCTTGCCAGGCCCTGTGTCTGGGATCAGGCAGCGTGGACTCTGACATCAGCTGGGATGGTGTTAGTGCCTTGCATGTCATGGGCTGACTGTGAATGTTCGTGGAGGGAGATGAGGAAGGAGAGAGCAGAGTCAGACTAGGCAGAGCTTCGCAGATCCTTGGGTGGGGCTTCTGTACCTCAGCGAGAACCTCTGAGGTCTGGTGGGGTGATTCTGATTCCAGAGCTCCTTCTTAGTGGCTGTCCAGGTCCTTGCTGCTCTGCATAGCCAGGCTCTGGACTGTGTGCAGGACTCTTTGGCGGCAGGACCAGAGGGGACCTTGTGGGCTGACTGGTCGCCAAAAGACCTGGGTTCAAATGCCCACTGGTCTAAAAAATGAAAAGTGTGATTGTGCACTTCTGAGCAGTGATGTCCCTGTGACACCGCCTGCGAGGCCTTGTCCCACGTTGTTTCTGCCTTCATAGTAATCTGCACAGTGAGAGCAGAGTCCTCATTGCACTGAGGAGGAAATGGGTGCTCACGGAGACGAGACAGCAGGCCCCCGGCCCACGTCGGTCACCAGGAGCCCACAGCAGCTTCTGACAGTGTGTATGTGAGTGAGCATTCATGTGAGTGTGTGTGTGAATGTGTGTGTGCACATATGTGTATGCAGGTGTGTGAGTGTGGTGTGCATGTGTCTTAGCATATGTGGGTATACATATATGTGTGTATGAGTGTGTATGCAGGTGTGTGTAGTGTGTGATATTTCTGTGTCTGAGTGTATACATTACTGCATGTGTGCATACATGTGCATACATATCTATATATGCACACACACGCATATGTATGTGTACAACCATATATGAGTGTATGCATGTGCATATACACTCTGCAAATGCATGCATGTAGAGTATGTATGTATACCTGCAATGTGTGCATGCATGAGTGCATGTACATGCTGCACACACAGGCATGATTATGCACATGCTTGTACACACACATACCAGTACACATGCACACACATGCTTACATACATATGAGAGTGCAAACACATGTACACCCACCTGTACATGTGCATATATTCATGTGCATGCTTGTATAACACAACTATGTAGATACATGTGAATCCATGTATCTGTATGCACACATGTGCTTGCACACATGTGCATGCACACATGTGTATACATGGACACATATGTGAGTGTATGTGTGCTTGCACATGTGTGAACACTACATGTGTGAGGATGTAATATATGTGTGAGTGTGTGCATGGGTGTCTGCTCATGTGTGTGCCTGAGTAACATGTGTCCACACGTATAGGTGCACGTGTGTGGGTGTGTAAATGATGCATGCACATGTGTGCTTTCCTTATACCTCTCTGCTTGTCAAATGACCCTTCAGGTTTTTTCTAGGTTCATGATTTTAGGTCAAGGACAAAGTACGTGGCCCCCTGCTCTGTGCTTGGCTGTGTGGCTTGTCACTACCCCGAGTCCCCTCAGAGTCCTTCTTCTATGCACATGGTACCCATAGGCCTCGCCAGGCCCTGGCTTCCCCTTCTCAGGGCTCTCCTGTGGGGCTCTCGTGGGCTGTGGCCTTCTCAGGAGGAAGTCTGGGTCTCATTCTCTGCAGTCTGGGCCCTGATCTCACAGGTGTGCGCTGCTCAAGCAGAGCTTGGGAAGCAGGGGCAGCTCCATATCTTAGGGTGCCACAGTGCCATGGTGCCTGGCAGTGCCCGGCGGGTTGCTGCTGCCTGCTCGACGCCTCTCTCCTGAGTAGCCTCCCTGTGCAATGCTGCATGGGGAGGCCTGCATGCTCTGGGTCCAGGCCCCACTTGGACAGAACACAGGCAGTTTTCTGAGAGCCAGGTCAGCTGGGCTGAATCAATCATGTCCTGTGCTCAGGGTGGCACACAAGGGAGGGATGGAACCAGGGACTAGGGCAGCTCTTGGAGGAACAGGAGGCCTTCCCCATGGCTGAGCTTATCCCATCCCCAGTGGCTTTTCGGTCACCTAGTCAGGGAACAGAAGGGGGCAGGAAGGGGAGCTGGGGTGGTGCTGGTGAGGCCCTCAGGCAAGGCTCAGGAGAGGCCCTGGCCTTCCCTCTGAAGCCCCCACATGCTGGGCTTGGTTGTCTGAATCCCAGCAAACCATGCCTTTCTCTCAGTGCCTTTGGGGTGCAGGGGCTTGGGAGGCACAAGCTAGAGCCTCTGTTTGACCCTGACAAGGAACATTTTGAGATAATTGCATGGCTGGTGACAGGAGAGAAAAGAAACTTCAGAGCTACTGACCCTGCAGGAATGCATTGCAATGTACTGCTGTCCAGGAATGTCTGTGGAGTTCTCCATGGGGTGGGAGGGAGAGAAGGGGAGAGGAGGTGGGGGGAGGGGGGGAAAGGGGGGGGGGGGGGTTCAATCCCCAGGAGAAGGAGGAAGAAGGGGGGGGAGGGGGGGAGGAGGAGGAGGAGTAGAAGTAGTTCCTTCTTGATGAGATGACAGCAGGCTGAACACTGAGCAGGTGGAGGTGAGGCTGCAGCATGGTGGCTATAGGACTATCTCATTCTCCTGATTCCAAGTGCACACTCCCTCAGGCCTCAGGTGTGGGGCCTGTGCTCCATACACATGCCTTGTGCTTCTGCAGTGATGTGCTCTTTTCTCGCTGCTCCCCTTACTGCTATGAAATTCAGGGCTACCCC